AAAAAAACTATGCAAGTGGCTATTGTTATAGTTAATTTACTTAAGTATACATTTTCAGTTGTATTTTTATTTTTTAATAAGAATTCAATTTTTTAATTTATTGTTTAAATTGTGTTTGAACCTACAATAGTTTTTTTTTCAATTACGACGTTATTATAATGTTTTCAAAAAATCCTTTGAAATCTCCCCCGACTTGCAAAACTTAAATTTTTAACAATGCCAAAAATTTGTGAAAAAATTCAATTCTATGCCAAGCGTTCACGCGCCAAGTCACGTTGTTTATTTTTAAGATAACTCGGTAGTTTTCTTAAACGAAATGAATGGCTATTGAAATGGACATTGATGGCGTGTATATGTTTTTGATAAGTCATTAGTGATTACTGATCACAAATGGTTCAAAATTACTAAACATACCATAATTCAATCGGAGCAGCATAATATCATGATGGAGGTTAGATTAAGATTTAGTGATTCTTAAGATACGGTGTTCTGTCTAAAGATTAATTTGTATGTAGTTGTGAAAAATTATGTGTAACAAAATTAATTCTGAATATGTACATTCTTATGTACCTATACTTTTATGTGATTTTTAAATATAAAATGAGTAGGTTTTAAAATATTAATTATTATATATGTTAAAGTGTATGACCGCAGTAGGCGAATGTTGACAGTCACTGGTGTAGATTGACATAATATACCAAAAACTGTAGTGAATTTTGACGAAATTGTCTTAATGCGTTCATACACCGGTGATTGTTGACATTTACAGTCAGTGTTTGGTAAATGTTGACCACACTTGAAGCACAATGTATGTAAAAGGTATTTTTGTATTATTTTGTAAAATTAAGATGTTATCGCCCAGCCACAATATGCATTGGAGACGCCAAACACAAGGATCCATCAAAAGGGCAAACCAAGATTTCCAAAATATACTGAGAGCTATAATGGAAGATAATGACACTACAAAATTGTCAGAAGCATTATTACCATTTGTCCGATTTGCGAAAAATACGACGTATCATCAAGGTATTAAGCAAACGCCATACGAAGCTATGTTTGGTGTTAAAGCACAAAGAGGTTTTTTAACATCTTCTCTTCCACGAGAACAAATAGAAAAACTAGCAACAGAAGAGGAGTTAGAACAAATACTTCAGTATATAAGTAAGTATAAATTATAAAATAAAATTAAATATATTAATATGCAGTGACACCTTATATGCATAAAGTGTGATCGATATATAGTGACTAAATAAGAATTTTTTTTGACAGCCCCTCAAACTGACCCAGAAAATAAAGGAAGTGATGAAAATGAAGTAAAGGAAGAGCCTAACGGTAAAAGCGACGATAATCTTGACAATCAAGCAAATAATGATGAAGATAAACTCAGCGATAAAAGTGATGACAAAAACCAAAATGAATTATTAAGTATGTAATTTAAAATAATAATACCTATTACAAAAATAATTCAAACCAATATTTTKTATTTAAAAGACATAAATGAAAGGAAGGAGAATACAATTAAGAATAGAGCTTTGGCACTAAATGGACTTCAAACACAATCAAGTGTAATGCTGGGATCGTCGAACCTAAAATTTCCGCTGTCATGTGGGTGATACTGTTCGAGTGTGTGTTTCAGATATCGATCGAGGACGTATGGATTATCAAAATATCTTGGCTGTTGTAATGGACGTTGATAATGACTTCTACAAATTAGGAACAAAATATGGGATTATCAGTCAGCTGTACACTCGAAATCAATTTGCAGTGTGCACAGAAAAATTGATATCGTTAAACGACGTTTTATTCGATAAGACAATGTCTTTGTACAGGTATCGACAGCTGCTTCCAAAAGTGGTGGCCAAGGTTATATACGATGCAATTGTAAAAAAAAAATGTAATTGTAAGAATGGGGGAATACTTTGTAACAGTAAATGCCACGATAGTTTACCATGTTGTAATAAATAAAACTTAATAAAGCATATGCTACCTAAACTTAAATATTAAAAAATTAATTTGTTCAACTATATTTATTTATGAATTTATTAGCTATCTATTTTATTATATATGTTGTCGTTGTCACACATGTCAAAATTCACTAAATAACTATTGCGCATGTCAACAAATATTGGTAAATGTCCGTATTGTGAGATATTTAAAATAATTGATATAACATTCACCAAAATKATTAGTGAATGTCGACATACGCCGGTGACTGTCAACATTTACTGCCATGCGGTCATACACCTTAACATATATATTATATGACATGAGATATTTTGTAAAAAAAAAGTGATTCGAAAAAAAATTAGTAGTTAGTCCATGATTTCTAAAAGTCGTTCATCAGGAGTGATGAACGTTGTGATCAAAAGTGTAAGAAACACTAGGTTAGGTTTAGGTTGGGCGCTTAGGCATTAAATACCTGTGATTTGATCTGGACGGGCAGATCCTGTTTGCCATTGCGGCCCAACACATTGATGATATCGTCAATGTCATCGTCTGAGGCCCCTATACTCTCGAGTTCGTCCACTACAGATTGGAGCACGGGCATGTTATCCAGGATCACTGACGTGTCATCCGATTCCTTCATTTCATCCTTGTGCAGTACCACGTTGATGAGTGCATATCCTATGACCGTCCGCACCATTTCTTGGTACACTTTTGACGTGCCCAGTTGCTTTAGTGGATGGCTGTACAGAAAAATGACTTCTTTCGGCGATTTCACKTTCTTTCCCAGCAGGCGGCTAGTGGACCCCATAACTTTGGACACGGTATTGCCGGTTGCGTCTACGATTTCCTTCATAGGTCCCAACGGCCTGACAGTGTTGCCCACGGCATTGGCCATCTTTGTCGTCACGTAATGACCACCGTCCACCATCTTCGAAGGTATCCTGTACGGAACAGACAACGGTTAGWATGCGGTATAGGGTTAAGGTACACATATTTATAATAACTATGTTCACGCGTGTATAAAATACAATATATTTATATTATATTTTGCCTATGCAGAACGATACTGATATAGGACAAATTTCCCAATATCCATGTAAATAAGTAAAATGTAATAAATTTATAAATATACTTGGAAGTATTTTTAATGCTACTTTTTTAGGAAGTGTGCTAGAAAAATAATTCTTATAAATCAATACGTTTTGATATCAATGAAGTTAATTTGATTTWGATTTTTTCCCATAAAATTCATTTATTTTTTTATATTTTACCATTTTTATAAAATTCTTGTATAATGTCTTCAAAATTTAACAGATTTCTATGTCAAATATATTTTGACTATATAATATTATTGAAARAAATTATAAAAACAGTAATAAATTGAGGACTAAAAAATATCTATCGCAAAAGTTGTAGTTTTATAACAATTACCATAATTATAGTTTTATAACTTCAGAAAAAGGAAAATAATCTGCTTATGCTGATAGCGAATACAAATATTTTAGTTGATCGATACATTTTAATCAGTTGGTAAGGTTTTTTTTTTTT